GGATAATGATGTCACAACATGTCACAAGTCTTTAAGCCTCAAATTGAGCAAAAGTAGTCAGGCAAGCTCATGCTTCTTGGCCCGTTTCAGCTGGAAGTGTTGCGGCGTTTCTGAACTCAATTTTTCCAGATGCTTCCAACAGGACCTCTTTTTGGTGCCAATTCTCACCTTCACGAGAATTTCAGCATGGGCCTGAGTGGCGCGGCGACATTCTCTTGACTCCCAACCACAGTGGTCAACTCTGATCAAAAGTAGACGCATGTATGTGTTTATGTGCATGTGTATATATATATATACATGCCATCATATGCCCACCCCGCCCCAATGACCTACTTGATGCCGTCAACACAATGAAGCGTTCGAAGCACTGCGAAAGTGTGCTAAGTCTCAGAACGTTATGCGAATATGTATTGAGGAAACCTTATAAATGTTGATGTAGACTTCTAGACCTTGGTGGAAGCTGTTCCAATACTTCTTGGAAGGAAGCTTGGAATTGCCCCAGCTCGTTTAAAGTGTCACTCTGCGGGGCAAACACTCCTCCTAAGTCAAAAGTGACTCCTAAGCACAAAACTTAACAAAACCTTCCTGGAATCTAGCCAAGGTGTGCATGTTGGATTAAAAGGGGGGGTTGCTATCAAAGTCCACCGGTGCGATGGGACTAAGACCAACCCTGGATATATATGGATGGCCCAGAACCTCTCCGCACTTCCCTTCCTCATACCTCTTCCACATCTTACCTAGCTATTCCCACCTTCTAGCTTGTCTATCCACTGTTCATGGCTCACCGGCTCACCACCCCTCTCAGCTCATGTTTTTCACCACAGGCTGTCTCTTCCACAGCCAGCTGTCAAATCCACCATTGCTGCTGCCTGGCAGAGCACTCATAAGAAAACAAAAATTTAGCGCTGCTCACACATGAATGCGTGAAGTCGATATCAAAATACTTAAAATATACACAGTGCTTGGTCAGTCGGTCAGCCTTTTGTCTCTTGACTTCACTCCACACGTCTGGTTGTTGTTTCAGTTTGGTTGGCTTTGCTTCTCCGTACTATTGAATTAGAACCACCAGCTCTTTGAGCATCAGTCCTGACCAAGCTGCTGTCACATAGCAGTTCAATGGTGCAGACCAACAACAACAACAACAAACAGCAGCACAACAGCTAGCTACTTCCATGAAACTAAGATGAGGTTGCTGAAACAAATGCCCAGTCGAGTCAAGTAGAAACCTCTACTCCACCGCCACCTGCCACATGTTCCACAGCTCAGCTCCCCCAATGACCGTGATCGCTCCGAGCAAACGGTATTTGAAAGTCTGTTCAATATCCTTTTCCTGGCGCTGCCTCTCTCAAGCAGTTGAATTAAGATTAGGTTGGTTTTAATGGAATGGAAACACGAAAGCAAACATATTGAACAGTGTCATATCATAAGGATTCATAATTTTGTAGTTCATAATGTCACATGGAAGCTCAGAAGCCAACATACACAACCAATTGGCAAGCGCACAGGAAGCGGACACACTTGCAATGGCCACAAGAAACCAACCAGTCCAACCAGTCACCTTTACCTTTACCTCTACCTAAGGAGATGGCTGCAATGCTTTGGCGGTGGAGCCAATGCAAACACAGCAAAAGCATCATCATCCTCCTGTTTAGGATGGCTTTCTGACTGAGTCCTTCGGACCATTGCAGCGCCACCAACAGCAGGGAAAAACGAACCTTTAGATGCCGCTGCACCCTTTTTGGGGACAGCTGATTCCTGATCTCGAAGCACGGACCTTGTACACAACACAGGAGCTCCGGAAGCTTTGCTGCGTAGACTCCGCACAGCCTTCCAGGTTGCAATGGTTTCAGTTCACGGATTTGGAGTATAGAAGTGCAGTGAGTCAGTGTCTATATTATATATATTCCATTTATACACTCTATATATAGTCATTACCGGCTTTGCGGATTTGTTTCCGTTTGTCAGCTATAAACAACACGGTAACAACACGTCTTCCGTCTTCTGTCTTAGCGTTGGATTGATTAGGTTTGGGTTTGCTTAGTCGCTTGGCCTGTGGACGAAGATCGATGTAGACCTTTGATAATGCCACATCCACTGGATTCCCTCGCCTAGGTACAGACTAGTGCTGGGCAAACACTAGCCACAAGCACAAAAACTATAGAAACAACACGAACATGAATGAACATGAGCGAAGCGATGGCTTACGTAACCCCAAATGCAAGCCTTTCTCACCTTCGATTCAAAACATACTTCAGGCAAGTACAGGGCACGTATCCTTCAGGTGGAGGTTCACAAGCTGCGATCCTGTTTCACAGCAGGCTTTCTGAGCATCCTGCACAACCTTCATTTGCCAGAAAGGATGTGGGAGCAGACTGCCAACCTTGCTGTATGACTCCCCATGCATATAGTAGCTCACCGTGATGCCCTCTGCAAATTTAGCGTCAGCAACCTGCACACTAGATGCACAGTCACATGCACATGCTGCACGTTGGGACAGGACATCGGACATCGGGAATCAGGAAGATTATATAGATTGAAGTTAGGAAAGCAAAAGCCACGGCAGGACACACTGGACTGGACATGTTTGCAGGCCTTGATGTTTTTCCATGAAGCTTCGGTCGTAATTGCTCCACACACATAAAGACGGCGCTTGGTAGCAAATTTGGCCATCCACTCTGAATCCTCGCAGTTTGCCGACGCAGAAAAGTCAAAGAGCTCAGAATCATCATTTGCATCAAGGTTGATAATGACTTGCGATTTTGCATCCGGCACAAGCATTTGCAAAAGCCATGTTGGACCAGTCCTTAGGCATTTGATGAGTGGTGGCAGAAACCAAAAACCAAGGAAGTAAATTAACGTTGGATGCTAATGTTGACTCACAACTCACCCATAAACGGGCTTGCAAAGCAATTAGTCGAGTCTAGTTTCATTTCATTTCCTGTTCAATCAATAAGGACAACTAAGGCTGTGTCGAAACTTCTGTCAAAAGCGTGCGCTCGATTTCTAGCTGGATGTGCAAGATGTCAGCCACGTGGAAAGCATTTTTGCATGCAGCGGCATTTTGCAGATCGCACAGGTTGTAGATAGCCGCAAAGGATGAGAAAGCGTCGTTCTCTTCCTTGTCCTTGCCCTTGTCAGACTTGTCCTTGTCCAACTTGTCCACCTGGTGAGCTGGAGCGGAAGTGGCTTGAGGTGCCCCGGTCTTGGCATCCACTTCCTCATCCTTTACATGGGAAGGTCCAAAAATCTTGGCAGCAGCCGGAAGAAGAGCCGGAGAGATCGTGTAGTCGTTGTTGTCTCCTTCCGGCTTTTGCACTTTCTGAACCAAGCTGTGCAAGACCTTTGCCCATGCAGCTGCCCATTCATCCGAGCAATCCCTTCCCAAACCTGCGGGCCCCATGTAGAAAGCTGCCTCAGCCTCCATCAGAAACTCTTGCACTCCCTCTGACTCAGAGCAAAGCATGTTCACAACAGCCCTCAAACTATTGACATCACAATCAGTGAAAGTCACGAAAGCTGGCTGCCGCTCTTGGCTTTTCTTTGGCCGACACATGAGGTGGCGTGCTGCATCCAGCATGTATCGCACACGGGCCGTGATCATGAAAGATACCAAGGTGTCGTTCAAGCCCTGCCTTTTGTCATTCGTGGTGATGTCTTTCAACATGAATTTGGCAGCCTTGCCAAACAAGGCCAATGCACATGGCTCCTTCTCGGTAAAGTCTTCCTTTGCAGCTTCTGCTTTGGCTTTTCGAGCTCTGAAGTCATCAATCTCCGCCTGAAGATGCAGCGTGCTGCCGCAACCCAGAATGGGAATGGCAGTTGGGACGGTCTCCATGACTTTGATGGCATTGCTGATGCCCCACACAAAGTCACTGATGGTATGAGAGCTTCCCTCATGAAAGTGGCATGGTTCAGGATCCCATGCTTCTGGATCGCAAGAGCAGCTCAAAATGTCTCTTTTGATAGCAGTCAAAAATCTGGAGTAAGCAGGTTGGTTGGCAATCTTCTTGTCATTGTTCATCGTGACAAAGCTCTCACACATTTTTTGCAGAGAACCATTCTCAAGGACGCGCTGGACCATGAGCTTGTGTTGCACGGCGCTATTCTTTTTTCCTTTTCCAGACGCTGGGGCTGAAGAAGAAATAGCGGTAGCGGCGGCGGTAGCCTTGGCAATGTCCTCAAGCATGGCTCCAAGGATAGTGTCTGCTCCACCACCAGGCAAAGCAGCTTGTTCACTCTGCAAAGTAGCCCGAATGTGAGATTGAAGAACAGGGCGCATCTGGCGGGTTTGACATCAAAATGCCAAAAGAATCAACATCAAACATACAATAATTATTGTTACGCTGAAAGCTCATGGAGTCACGCAATGCAATGATTCAATGAAATGAAAATTGCGTGTATCTAGGGCCAATGATTCCAATGACCAATGGGATGAAGTCCTCCCTGCTCTCTCCATCCCCCCAGCCTTACTCCACTCTTTGAAGTACTTTCCAGCGAAGTTCACACCACCACAGAAGGCGAAGCGCAAGGCCACGGCAAGAGCCTTGCAAACCACTGACGTAGTCTGTGACTCCCACTCAATCTTGATCTCAGCCCCGATTGCCCTTCTGACAGCTGCCAACACATCATCCAGCCACTTGCGTTGCCGCTGCCCGCCTGTCAGTGGCATGGACACATTGGCCTCTAAGTCTTCCTGAGCTTCTGCAAATTTGTCCGACTCTTTGGCAGCACGTTTGGGAGCAGGTTTTGCTTTTGCTTTTCCAGTCCGCTTCTTCTTGCCTGAAGCCGCAGCCTCCTCAAGATCTGGCACACGAGCACGTTTCTTGGAAGCTCCCTCCTCAGTAGGCGCTGATGCCTTGGTAATCTTCTGAACAAAGATGGACCCAGCAATGTTGCAGGTTAGCTTCTCCTGCGCTTGCACCATCAGCTGTGAATCAGCTCCTTTGACAAAGATGTAGACTGGCCGGCTTGCTAGGGAAAGCGGTGATTGCGGCGAAGCAGCAGAGGCTGGAGCTTCAACATCTCCATCAGCTGCGGTCGCCTGGGAATCTTCTGGTTGCAACAGGGGCACGCAGAATTTGCAAATCTCGAGAAATACCCAGCCAATTTCCTCAAGCGGATAGCTCCCAGCAAACATCTCCAAACAAGTGCCCCAGGTGTTCATGTTCTTGATCACCAAGTCGGCTTTGGCCATGTCAGCGGACAAGAAATCTGCTTCCTGGCCAAAGAAGCTTGTCCACTGGTCGAGGCAGCGGAACATTCGCAATTTGTTCTTCAAGGCTTTGGCAACCTTGAAGTTGTCCGGGTTGTATTTGGCCTTGTGCGCACAACTTCACATCGCCGCATCGCTGCATGCCATGCATGCCCTTCCCCCTCACCAACAACATTACAATGACATAACAACATATCTTCAATAAAACGACTTTGCTAAAGACCCAGGAAAAAAAGCAACTCTGATCATGGTGATGAACAACAATGATAGCCTGCCTTGAACTCACTCTTTTGCAGCCAATTGTTGAACTCTTCGCGGAAATTCTCCACATTTCTGGTTGTCATACCCTGGCGGTCCATGTACGCTGCCCAAGCCTCATGGTAATGCTGAGCATTTGAGTCGCCAGGAGAACTGAGTGAAATGATTTCAAGATTGCACCATCAACAAGTTGAACAAGTGACACAGTGACAAGTGGACACCAACTTGCCAACCAGCTCTCTCTCACTAGCACGCTAAGCCATAAACGTCTTCGACATGCTGCACTTCCGTGACCAACTCGAGGAACGAGATCCGACCGCCTTCGTGAAAGCCGTTGTTTATATCGCGCAGAAACCTTAGGCTCTCGACTTGACTCGTCGGACTTGACTCTCAACCTCAAAGTTCTGGGATGGTGGTCTAGTGGTCTAGAGTCTAGGTGGTCTAGTAGTCTAGCTACTAGCAAATGCAAAGCAAGCACTGACAAGCAGACCGAACCCAGAATGCAGTACAGTCTTCTTCTACATTCGAGTCGACAGTCGACTGCACTACTATTCTACTATTCCATGTCACAGTGTTCATTATTTTGTGTTCTTTTTTTGGAGACTTGAAGTTACTTAAACTAGCTTAGCTTGAGTCCCACAAAACTGTATCTGTATCACATCAGGACAGGTGACCTGATCACATCAGGTGGTGTCCTGGAAGAGAGCACCCTGCAATTCGTAAGACCACTCTTCAATGTCGCTTGCACCTGTGGATTGTCCGGATGTTGGGCCACTGCATCGTAAAACGCCTGGCTCCTGCAAGTCGTCGTCGTCGTCGTCGTATGATATGGACATATGGACATATGGTCATATGGACAGTCACACCACACACACACAAACTTTGGACACTCAAGCAAGCAGCACAAGTGTGATCAGTGATCAGTGAGTCAGTGTGACTGGTAAGGCCATGGCAATGTTCCGTACGTAATCGCTTGATAAGGCATGCCCGGCTTTTCAGGCCTTGGAACTAATTAATCAACAGACTAACAGCGCACAGCCGCACAACAAATGAATGATCACTGATCACATGAGTGAAGCTCAGAAAACACCAGCAGCATAACTGATGATGGAACTGAACCAAAAGTACACTTGTCAGCACCGAGTTTCTCAGTCACCCAACACTCGCCGCGACAGCCAGACATGATGCCATACTTGAGTATGCCTCGTTTGTATCGTAGGCGAACAGCTGACTGACGGCGGTCATTGAGGACATGCCGTTGGATCATTGGTGCAGTTTGGGATGCATCTGAGAACCACGGCAAAGTCTTGCTATGCTCGACCTGGGGGAATGTTTGCTTCCACAGGCGAGTCAAAAAATCAGAGTCAAACAGTCCAAGTCAAAGTTCATTACATTTTGCATTGCATACAATTAAACATTTAAAATAATGAAACTTATGATGATAAGCCTTATATATCATCATCTTATCATCATTGATAATTGATAAGTTGTTGAAGCCAGCTGGCTTGATAATATGCAAAGATTTGATCTTGTAGTGCTCTTCCGGACACATGCCCAAATCTCTCTTCAAGGGAGAGATGCCCAAACAGAGTAGCATTCGCAGAGGCTAACGCCGACGCGCCACCACTACCGCCACTACCAGGCACGGGCACAGCACCAGGCCTTGGTCACTCACCGGAAACAGAAACACCTGAACTGAACTCAGCCACTCTCCCCACCCATCCCCACCCCAAACTCTGAGTCTAAATCCCAGATTGCAAATTGCCAAGAAACATCCTCTCTTGCAGCTCTGATGTGAGTCCGCTTGACCAATGGACCAATGACCAATGGACAAATCGATAAATCGAGATCAGTGACCAAAACTCAAGCCAAAGGCTAAAGGCCAATGCGCAACTGTCACAACTGCAGGAACTTTGGAAATGAAAGGAACGAGAAAAAGAAAGACGTAACACGGTAACATGTACCACATGCCACATGACGCGACAGTCAAGTGTCACATGACAGTCAAGGCAGCCAATATGTCTCTTAAGTCTCTCACTCACTGTACTGCGTCAGTCAGTCTAGCCTGAGTCCAGCCTACTCGCCGCACGCCGCACGCCGCACTGACGATATTTGTGCCCAAGCGAAACGAATGACACTCTGACTCCTGACTGGGCCGCATGCCCCCATGCACCACATGCACCAACATGCAGCTTGCCCTACAACTGACAGTAGCCTGCTTAGAAGCCACTGGCGAGGCAAAAAAACTGCTTTGTTGTGTTTTCTTTCCGCCAGCACCAAGCTGCCATGATTTCCACAGGAACCAAAGTGTTTTTTGGTCCTAAGTTCTAGATTCTTCAAATCTGCAAATGATCTAAGAGTGAGTCTAAGAAAATCTAAGAATCTAAGAAAGATTAGTCGATTAGATTCGATTAGTCTATTAGTCGATTGTTGATGCAAACTTGGCCTTGGCATCTTCATTTGTCTGAATTGAATTCTGAACAATACTGGTCGCGTTCAAGTTGAGTTATGTTCCCGGTTCTGCATCAAACAACACAAAACATTTCGGCAAAAAGGCTAATATATTATATACTGTATCGCAACATTCACATGATTATTAAAATAAAACTTGTCTACTTGTTTAGTATAGTGTTGAAAGCAAAACCGGAGTCCCAGAATGTGAATGTGAGTCTTGAATCAACGCAAGGTGGCCTCCCCCACGCAGCTGCTTGCCCATTGCCCATTCAAATTGCCGGGCTTTGAGCTTTGCCGCTCTGGCAACCTTACAAAACAACTCACCCTCACCCACACTGTAGAAGTTGAACTTCCCCCTACATGCACCGAAGCCGTTTGGCAACACGTGAAAGAATCCCCATGGAGGAGCCACTTGACTCTCCCATATCAGCCATATCAATCTGAGTCAAGCTGTACATCAATGCTGTTGCAATGCTTTCAACATGCATTGCATTTCCAACTTGACCTATTCGGCACGTGCGGTCTGCTCCCGAAAGCTCTCTGGGTGTAGCAAAGCTGCACACCCTGACATATCCTGTCAGGCTGGCGTCAACTGCAAATCCCTGGGCCAGCGCAGCTTCCGTGCTCAGCAAGAATCTCTTGTGGAAATCTGACCTTGGTAGAAAGCACAGGCACACGGCACACAGTGGATGTAACGACCAGCCACAACAACTTCACTTCAACCCACTTCAACTTCAACTCAACTTTTCAGCTTTGACAATCAAACCAATATCAGACTAGGCGCCAAAGCACACCAGCATTTTTGATAATGGTGCACAAAGCAGAATCCGAACTAGCGTCGCCGAACTTTGGTGATTGGTTCAGCTGATAGACTTGCCCAATTTGCGCTGGCGCAGAAAGGTAGCCCCCATCCATTGTCAATGTGTTTGCCTCGGACTTTGTCAATGCCCTCCAGAATTCCTTCAGGATGCACACCGGGTCGTCGTCAAGGGCTTGGAGAAAGGACTCAAAGGAATCAAAAGTTTTGACTTCCCCAGAGTCGTCATCAGATTGTTCACGTGCCCTGGAACCTGGACGCTTCACAGCCCAAAGCAGCTCGGAGTATAGATCCACCTCGTCTCCTGCAAAGAAGATGTCCCATAGTGGTCGCCCTTGACACTTGCCAGCAGCATCATGTGATAGCAGCGGTGGCGCGTTGAAGATGCCTGCAAAAATATTCCTGGACAGTGTTCGAACAACTTACCCCCGGCCCGACTACTATACTATACTATAATATACTATACTATACTATACTATAATACTACTGCGACTGCTACTACTACTACTACTACTACTGCTGTACAGTACAGTACAGTACAGTACAGTACAGTACAGTACAGTACAGTAAATATTCATACAACTTCAAAAACTTAAAAAAAAAATATGTTTCACAGCATCAAAGTTTCCATGGAGATCTAAAGCATCGGGTTTTGTACCGATGTCGAAGTATTGTGTAGCGTCGACATCGTGCTATGGGCCATCCCTGATTCTGAGGATTCAGCAATGTGCTTTCCACATGATATAGCTGACCCAAAAAGGCCAACAAAGTACCCGGTTGAAATTCTCGCACATTCTCATGGATAATGATTGCTTCTTGCAGCAGGATGCGCTTGGCCACCCAAATGAGGAAGCAAGAATAGGCATGACCATTCTCTGCTCCTCTAGCACCACGAGGGCTGTAGTCAACACATGGCGACCCTGCGATATGCAAATCACTTTCCACCACCTCAGGGAAGTCAACAATTGAAAAGAATACAGTAAATGAAATCTCTGAATGAACTGTTCCAGAACAAGTCCAACTTATTGCTTACACCAAACCGGCCGGCCTGACACGTTTTGCCGTGCACACAGCACCAAGCTTCTCGCTTGGCAGCTTTCCCCGAAAGAACTAGAGGAACCAAGACATCCTGAACCAAACCACTTTGGATGAGAGAGTCAACTCTGGTCTTAACTGCTGGCTCCCAGAATTCTTCAATGTCTGCGAACACGCACATTGGAGGGTGTGGGTGCGCAATGAGCTCATCACAAGATTTGGATGCAACTTCAATTGCATACAGATTCCGTGGGGCCCTGTGAAGAACATCTTCGACATCACGACCAAGCTCGCAATTGGCTGCCCACAAAAGATGTAAGGATGCAGTTGCAGGCGTATCAATGCCCGAAAAGGCTGAGCTGATTGTGATGGAGGACAACCTGTCTGCAAACTCACGGAGCGCAAAGTTCTTTCCCTGCTGACATTCTGTGGAAGAACTTGAGGCCACCCTTCCCTGCAGTGGTCCAGGACCTACCACACTTTCTAGACCAGCTCGAGCTTCATGTGCAATCTTACATGCCTCCTGCATGGTCACTGCACGCGCTAGAGGGTTTCCCTTGTGGTCATCAGGCTTAGCATGAAGGAAGCGGTTCAACACGTCCAGCATATAAAAAGGCCACATGAACATGCGCTGCAACAGTGCTTTTCTTGATGCTCTTACCTCCTTGCATGTCTAGAGTTCAGCAGCCGCTTGAAGAGCTTGTTCACCACCTATTTCAGACACATCGATATCAGTGAAAGAATAAGGTGCTTCATCCACTACCGTTGCCTCACCACAGTTCCCATCGTCATGGCAATCAACTTGAGGACCAGGATCAACTCCAACAACTTCAGCTGGAGGGTGACGTGAACCATTATCATCATAATCATCATCAGAACCATGATCATGATCATGATCAGGCTGATCAGGAACACCAGGACCATGATCATCACAATCATTGGTTTTGGTTTCTGTTGGTTCCACAAACTTCGATTCTACCGAACATTCCGGACATTCCAGCATCTCCTTCCCTGTGAGACTGGCAGCCTCAGACTCTGACTTCCTGATCATTTCAGTCATTTTTTTCAGGTTCTATCGGCACAGGTTCAGGTTGCACAGCAAGTTCTCCGGGGCATGGTGCGTTCTCGAGATCAGAATGCATATCATTCTCAGACTGAGCCGCAACTGCATTTCCAGAATCTCCAGGACAATCAAGTTGGGGCCCAGGCCTAGGTGACTCAGGCTGGATTTGATTGCCCTGCGCAAGCCCACCGCAACAAGCGGATGCCATACTGTGGTCAATGTGATCTTTCTGTTGACCAGCCATTGGCTCCAGCGGTGGTGAACAATCCTGCTCATTCTGAAGATTGTTGCTGATGTCTGCCAGTACAGCTCGTGATGAATCTGCATTCTTGAAGTATTGGTTCAACTGCACAGTAGCATTTCTGTGCGCTGCACTTGCCTGATCAACAGGCTTCTGCTTTTGCGGCTTCTGCTTGAGCGCAGGAGATTGTACAACCTTTGGAGGACTCCGACTCTGGCTGTTTGTCTTGGATGCTCTGCTGGGACCTGCTTTGCTTTTGACAGCTCTTGCTGGTCTCCCCTTCGTTTCCTCAGCCTTTGTACGAGCCATTTGTCGCGGACAATGTCTAGCTTCAAAAGCTCGATACGAATAGGCTGCGATCTTGAACGCTCGCTTCAACCAGCAGTCACACAAATCAGTAAGCGCTAAGCAGCAAAGCACTTCGGTTTCAAGCTATATAGGTCGAAGTATAATATATATATATATACATATACGTTTGTTTGTTATATTGTATATCTATATTATTTGTTTGCAGTTTTGTCACGTCACCCAGCGCTGACATCCAACTGTGTGAATGCGTGCCTCAACGAAAGGCGAACTCAAAGTCTGTGTCTGAGAAGTTTGCCTCGAAGATGTTTCTGGAAGCACATGTCTTAAAGTATATTTCATACAAGTGTGTGTTTTCATGAAGCATAAGTATACGTAGTGTGTGACAACATATAAAATATAGTGATGTAATGTTTTGTTTTGTTGAACCTTTGGTGTGAACATATAGTGAAAGCTAACAAAATAAACAAAAAAACAATATGTAACGAACATGTTGATAAGAACATATATATACAATATATACACATATGTGGAGATGATGATAGTGACGCGCATAGTATCTGTCCTTGCAAGATAATGCGAAAAGAATATGTCTACACGATGTCTACAGGAGAGGATGATGTGAAGAGGGCTTGTCCAGAGGAGAGGATAGTGCGGAGAGGGCTTGTTCACATAGGGAACAATGCGGAGAGGGATTGTCTACAGGAGATGATTGTGTGGAGAGGGCTTGTCCACAGGAGAGGGTGGCGTGGAGAGGGCTTGTCCACAGGAGAGAATGGTGTGGAGAGTGCTTGTCCACAGGAGAGGAGGGTGCGGGGAGGGCTTGTCCACAGGAGAGGAGGGTGTGGAGAGGGCCTGTCCACAGGAGAGGAGGGTGCGGAGAAGGCTTGTCAACAGGAGAGGAGGGCGCGGAGAGGGCTTGTCCACAGGAGAGGAGAGTGTGGAGAGGGCCTGAGGAGGGTGCGGAGAAGGCATGTCCACAGAAAAGGAGGGTGTGGAGAGTGCTTCTCCACATAGGATGGTGCGGAGAGGGCTTGTCCACAGGATAGGATGGTGCGGAGAGCGCTTGTCCACAGGAGAGGATGCTGCGGAGAGGGCCTGTCCACAGGAGAGGAGGATGCGGAGAAGGCTTGTCCACAGCAGAGGATGACGCGGAGAGGGCCTGTCCACAGGAGAGGAGGGTGTGGAGAAGGCTTGTCCACAGGAGAGGATGATGCGGAGAGAGCTTGTCCACAGGCAGGAGAGGATAGGGCGAAGAAGGCTTGTCTGCAGGAGAGGGTGACGTGGAGAAGGCTTGTCCACAGGAGAGAATGTTATGGATAATGCTTGTCCACAGGAGAGGATGGTGTGGAGAGTGGTTATCCACAAGATAGTAAAGTGTGTAGATAAGAATCTACGGAGATTGTGTGGTGGTTGTTTATTACAAACATAACTTGGGTTTGTTTATGTACATATTAATGAGTGCACATAATACACAAATCTTTGGATAAACATATATATACAATATATACATCCAAAAACATGTTCATTTCTATTAGGCAGTTTACCTTTGCATGTGTGATGTAGATGCAATTCAATAGATACATCAAACAATGCTGCATCCACATTCAATGCTTCCTCTATGTCATTCTATGCATTTCTCATCTCTCTATATTTATCCTTTCGAGACTCAATAAACTCTCAATGACTCAATGACTTTACATTTATCTATAAAAAATGAGTACTCAAAATCTTGAATCGATGATATCATTCAGGAACATAAAACGATATTGTCTTTTTAGTGTTGCTTTGCCAACATTAGTACCAGACCCAGACCCATCACGACACGCAGTGTGACCGGCAATGCCTGCACACGTACACAGAGATGCAAGGCTGCACCACCTGCAGTAAGGCAGACAACTAAACATGAAAGCATTAAACATAAATCAATATTAATGTTTTGTATATTTGCAAAAGATGCTTATAACTAGACTCACCGCTCACCGACTCGCCCTTACTTTCGTTAGGACGTTGTGCCTGCAACCCTTTGCAATCATCAAATCCAGTCATATTATGTGTTTTCTCGTTCTATTCAGTCTATCCAGACTAAAGTCCAATTGTGGCAACGTTGGACATTGCCGCTAGAAAGCTGGTAAGACAGGCTGCCGTTTGCAAGCCGCTCTTCAGCTTCATTCACAAGTATATACAAACAGTGAGAACCTGCACAGCGCAACTTCTTTCGGAGCCGGGTCGGCCCAATTCCTCCAAAGCACCGGTTAGTAGTTACTGTAGTTTGTTAGTAGTTAGTAGTTATGGATGAAAACACATATGGCAAATACTCATCACATAACGTCCTGCCAACCCGATAGCTCTTAAATGAGGAAAAAAACGAGACTAGTCGAGTGACTCTGACCATTCCGATCCCACTGATCATTTGATCGCACTGTGTTCAGAAGTTCTAGGGAAGTGTGCGAACCATCTCATCGTCATCAGTCTCATCACTGACATTCGACGCACTTGATGAAGAATCAGTGAAATCCGTGGAATTCATTGTCATTGTCTCCATTGACATTGGAATAGTAGTCGGAGATGTTGGTGTAGGGGGTGGGGGCACAGGTGGAGTACGCGGAACAAGCAGCAGTGTTTGCGGTGATGCGGGAGGTGTTCCTGGTGGTGTTCCCAGTCCCACCACCCTCACCTGCTCACTGCCACTGCCATCGCTGCCACCACCGTCACGGCCACGACTACCCCCTAGCAGCCCTGGCAACACACTCTCCTTGCATGTTGAGTTTGATGTAGATCTCATGTTTTCACGCAGGTCAGTTCCACAACCACACCCTTTCAAACTGGTCTCAACACCAGCCGTGGTGACGGTTGCCACAGTTGCCCCTGTGACACCACCTTCGGTTTTGTCATCAATGACTGCTGGTTCAGGTGATGGTGATGGTGAGAAGGACTGTCTGGTTGGTGACCTGGACCTTGACCTTGACGTAAGCATCCTTGACGTGCGCATGTTTGTCATGGATCTCATAATCATCCTCTCCAGCACCTTTGGGTCCCGCGATGCTGGTAGCGGTCGCACTGGCGGTGCCGGCAATGACTCACCCTCATCAGAAGAATCGTCCAAGCCTAGCGAAAGCATCCACTCTCTGCGCGACATTCCGCTCTCTAGAGCGTCCATGGCAGACAGAAGCAATTCTGCAGCCTCGCCAACACCCATGACAGCGGAAACAGATATGTGCAGGCACCGGAACAAAATGATCCAGTAACAAAATTGTGCCAAAACACTGCAAGTCAACAGTCAACAGTCAACAGTCACATCACAGTGATCCGATCAACACCCCGACTAATACAAACACAGTAGTCAAGTAGTCAACAGAGTCATCCAGCAGCCTACAGCCTACAGGTGCGGCCGGACCGTTTATATACACATCAAGCAGCAAAGCATCAATTGAATCAACTGTCGTTTCGTTGTTGTTGTTCTTATATATGATGTGATGTGGATGTGGCCGTGGGTCTCACTGTGGACTCTTTGACTCCTTCCGTCAATTTCCCCAGTGCCTCACTCGTGAACTGAAGATGAAGCTGCTAC